GCAGAAGCTGGAGGAGGGGCGGGGCAAGCGCTGAGGTGCCCCTCTACCTGTGATGATGGGACTGCTGGTGCTGTTGGGGGGGGGCAGCAGGAGACGAGAGGTGGGGGAGTTAATCTGTGGGAGAGCAGAAAGACAAAAGAAGAAGAGCCAGCAAATCATCAGTCACATTTTTGCAACGTATTTCACTGGGGTCACCTTTCATTCAGTCCTAAACAGCACAGAAGGGATGTGATATATCCAGACCTAACGCTAAGCTAAGCTAACTGTCGCCGCCTGTTCCCAGCAGTTATGCTAAGCTAGGATAGCCATTTTCCTCTGTTTTCTGTCTTTATGCTAAGCTAGATTGTATGTTTTCCTTTGTTTTTTGTCTTTACCCCAAACTAAGTTAGCTCTTTTCTTTTGTTTTCTCTCTTCATGGTATGATAAGCTGTTTTCTTTTGTTTTCTGGCTTTATGCTAAGCTAAGTTAGCTATTTTCCATCGCTTTCTGTTTATGCTAAGCCAAGTTAACTCTTTTTCTTTGTTTTCTGTCTTTGAGCTAACCTAAGCTAGCCGTTTTCCTCTGCTCCCAGTCATTATGCTAAGACAAGCTAACTAGCTGCAGCTTCATACTTGCTTACAGACATATTTGGTGTTAGTCTGAACTAAGACTTAAATGTCACAATGTGGAACTGTTCCTTTCAGCGAGCAGCCTCACCTTGAGGTCATAGGAGGAGTGTGGCCTTCTGGGAGTTTCTCTGGAGGAGGACAGCAGGTCTGGCAGGTGGTTGGCAGCTGGTCTCAGCCTCACCTGAGCCCTGCTGGTGTCCACAGTCTGCTGGTTGTAGTGACACGAGGTCGGCCTCTGTCGTAGCACCGCCCCCTCACTACGGGCGTACCGTCCAGCTGACTCACCTGTCCTCTGAGGTGTGGCAGGTGTGGGGGATGTGGCCTCGGACGGAGAGCCCATCTGGCAGGTGGACTTGGCTCTCTGCAGGGCTCCGTTCAGTTTGGGGCTGCCGCTCTCGCTGCGCACCTGTCGGATTCGGTCCTGCCAGTAGGTGGAGGTCCCGCCGCTCTTTACGCTGTTGCCATGGCGATTGAGCTCCTCGTACTGATACGACTCGTCCTCGGCCAGTTCTCCCAGCCGGCCCAGCGAGCGGGCCCGTTTCCGTGCCGACGGGCTGCTGCGACGCAGAGAATTGGAGCTGGAGACGGACAGACGGTTCATCTCCGAGATCACGTGACTGATGTAGTCGCCGTGACCGATGAAGCTGCCGCGGACGATCGTCTGCGGAGACACGAGCAACAAACTAACACTCACAGTCCGTCACAACATCACAACCTGTAGTGCCCCCATTGTTATTGCCCCTCTGTTATTACCCCATTTTTACTACCCCTCTGATGATTCCCCTCTGTAATTTCCCCTCTGTTACCACCTCACTATCGTTACCGCTCAATTACTGACCCTCTGTAAATACCCCTCTGTTATTACCCTTGTGGTCCTACCTGCCTGTTTCTATCCGTCTGTTATCACCCCTTTGGATGGAAACATGACCTCATGTTTCAGCTCATCCGTGACATTAACAGTCAACCATCGCACCGTCAAAACGGCACTTTGTGCCCACTAAACCAGGTCTAAGTCATCATCCTCATGTTGTCATCATAAACATAAACCGGGAGTCTTTTTTCATTATCTGGTGTGTCAGATCAATAATCCTGATTAACTGTGTATTGACTGCTTGTTACGATGTAGCAATGGGGTCATCGTTAGTATGAGTTTATATATGAATGTACCCAAGCAGGCAGAGTCTGATTTATTCTGCGGAAACTCTGAATTTATTCGGATATTGTGTTCAAGCTAATGTTGCAAATGTTGTAAAAACCAGACTGAGCCTAAACTCTTCATGAGCAGCAGGGCAGTTTAGGATTATAAAGCTAATTTTAGCATTTTAGTGCTAACTTTAGCTTTTCAGGGCTAATGATACTTTTTAATACTTACTTTGTTTTTATAGCTAATGTTACATTTTAATGCTAACTTTATCTTTTCAGTGCTAATGTTACTTTTTAATGCTAACTTTAGTTTTTAATGCTAATGCTACTATATTATGTTAACTTCAACGTTTATGCTTAAGTTACTTTCACATGCTCACTTTATCATTTCAATGCCACTATTACGTTTTAATGCTAACTTTAATTTTTCAGTGTTGATGTTGCCTTGCAATACTTCAGCTTTTTAAAGTTAATGTTATAGAGATAATTCAGAAACAGAGTTTGTCCACCAGAGAGCAAAGATTGGCAGATTTTACCTCTGTGAAATGTCTCAGACAAACAGATGTGAGTCAGTGTGGTCTGTACATGCCCAGGAAAATATTCAGAATGTTGAAATCTCAGAGATGAAAATGAGGGAGGCGAAGCGTTTCTGGGTCACCGGCAAGCAACATGAGTAACTACAAAAGAGATTAACATCGGCTTGTTATGTGTAGTTAGAGCAGTAATCACCTGGAGGCTGACCTAGTGTCATTCTGCTGTCACACCCTCAACACTGAGCACTTCAAGTACTCAGCAGTCACAGTGGAGCAAAGCTGAGAGTCAAATTTGATTCTTTACCCTGAAATCGTCAAGTTTCAGCATGAACCTGTTAATTCATCATATAAAACGGCTCCTTGAAGAGGTCAGAAAACATCAGCAGCTCTGTTGCAGCTGTGCAGCTCCATCTGCTGAGGAGCACCATGGGATACGCTCCAAAGATCCTGAGCAGCTAACGAGCGCTCGGGGTGATGCAATGTTTTCCTTCATTTAAACATCAGAGTCTGACTCTGACAACATTTATGTTTTAAACTATCCGTGGATATTCACTAAAACATCAGTCATCATCAGTGTTCCCTTAAATTAGCAGATATTTAAGTGTAATTTGCTGTAGATACATATTAACTCAGTTTGTTATAATATTGTTTTCATTTGTTGCATTTATGCCCTAACAGAGGGAGATGAGATGTGTTGGACCAGTTCTAGACAGGTCGTCATCAGAACAATCAGAGGTCCAAACGTAAATAAATAAACAAACAGCACCACACGATCTATAAATGGGTATAACATGACTCTCCCATCGATGCACGTCTAGGTTAAGAATATTTCAAAGGGATTTAAATACGGCCTCTGACCTTCCTTGGTACGAGTTCGACCTCAGTGATCCTGGAGGGGTCCACCAGGGGGCGGGGCCTCTTCAGCGTGTCGATGACGCTCTGCCACTGTGGAGGCAGACCCACATAGCGTCCTGTGGCAACGTCGAATGATGTGTGGACGCGGTGTTGGAAGTCCTGCGGCGCTGAGATCTGCAGCCTGTGCTTCTTCTTCCTGCGGCGGAACATCGCCACGGTAACGCTGTGGCGGCCGCGGCCAGATGATGAGACCTGAGGGAAACAACCGGACGCAGCAAGTTTAGCGCAGGAAGAGCAACACAAATAATGCTGCCGATCAGACTGAGACATGGTCGGAGTCTCATAAATACACTGAAATACAGAATAAACGCAGTGAAAACACACACACACACACACGCTGTGAGAAAGTCCTAACACTGACAGCTCCTTTTCCTGTTCAGGTGATTCACCTGAGACAAGTCACATGACCTCCTCCGCCCTCTCCTGTCAAACACAAACCGACCAAACAGCCCAGGTGAGATCTCACTCGTCTGCATAATTAACACTAATATTCCTTTACATTACAGCTGCCATTTTTCAGCAGCACACCAGAACATTTAACACATTTAAATTCTGAAAAATTAAATTCACGTGTCTGGACGACGTTTATTTTTAATAACTTGTTTGCTGAGTTTCCTTTCGGTCTCTCAGAGGAAGGAGGTGAAATCTGGATTTGTTTATAAGATCAAGAACACCGAACGTGTTTTACATATCTATGTGCACACATTTGTAGATATTCAAAGGTTCAGCTTCTTTTCCAGCAAGCTTTGATGAATGTTTAAGGACTACAGATAGATTTCTAGTCTAATAAGTAAACCAAATGTCTGTACCCTGTACCTGTAGCCGTTGTTTACTCTCGTGCTGTCTTGTGCTACCTGAACAAATCATTCTGAGAAAAAAACATGGATATTGAGCAGAATAAGCCTATATAATTTAAATAAACTTGTAGAATGTAAACCAGCAATAGATAAAAGTAAATTAGTAAATTATCTGAATAGACAGTTTAGAGTTAACTTTTGTCAGCTCTTCTTCTGAGTAAGTAGTTTACAATGAGCACACGCCATTTCCACACATTTTCAATGTAATCAGAAATAAACTGTACATTTATTGTCACTAGTCACCAATTTTCCCAAACTTTTTGACCCACGAATGAAACTTTGATCTGATGTCATGTTAATGAGATCACATTAGCAGGATGTTATATAACGAGTCTTTGTGGGCATGAGGAAGAGCAGCAGAAGACCAAACTGATACAGATCAAATGGAGCGATCACATTAGATCCATCAGCTAATCCGAGGAGCCCACCGCTCATCATCATCATCATCATCATCATCATCATCATCATCATCATCATCATCATCATCATCCTTGTTAATTTATAAAGGAGATACTGAAATAATGTTGTAATCATTATGATCAGGAGCAAAACAACCAGGAGACAGACCAGGATTTTAAAAATAAACTTATTTTTCCTTCTTCTTCTATTTTTTTTAGTATGTTTTCTATCAGCTTCACACAGACACCTGGTCACCTCCACTATCCATCCATCCATTATCTATACACCACTTAATCCTCACGAGGGTCATGGGGGCTGGAGTCTATCCCAGCTGACTCAGGGTGAAGGTAGGAGACACCCTGGACAGGTCACCAGTCTATCACAGGGCTACACTTAGAGACAGACAACCAAGCACACTCACATTCACACCTACGGACAATTTAGAATCACCAATTAACCTCAACAGGTTTCTGGACTGTGGGAGGAAGCCGGAGAACCCGAAGAGAACCCACGCTGCACGAGGAGAACATGCAAACTCCAAACAGAAAGATCCCAGGCCGGGACACGAATCCAAGACCTTCTAGCTGTGAGGCGTCCGTGCCACCCAGCCTCCACCAGTTTTATCAAAAGTCTGTTAACCTTGTCTGAACCGTTCAAACCTGGAGCTAGTTGTCATCTGGACCTGCTTCTAACTTGAATTTAATCTTATCTGAACCTGTTTCTAAGCTAAATCTAGTTCTAATCTGGACCTCATTCTGTGGCTGTAATCTTGACCTGGTTCACAGCTGCACCATGACACCAGGTCTGGACCTTTACACAGGTCTTTAAAGGTTTGCACATGGATCCCCTACAGGGTGTAAAACTCAGCTTGGTTCTCACAAAGACACAAACACACACAGACACACACCTCCCCGCTCTCTCTCTCTCTCTCTCTCTCTCACCTGTGTGTGAGTCGGTGTCTCTCCGCTGCAGGTCGACCAGGTCCAGCCCAGTCCAGATCGGTCCAGCTCAGCCTGGAGGGACACACAGAGACAATGAAGCACAGAACCTCTTCCACCTCCTCCTCTTCGTCATCCATCATCATCATCATCATCATCATCATGCCCCCCCTCTCCTCCTCCTCCTTCTCCTCCTCCTCCTCCTCCTCCGACCGACCGGATCAGATCACTCCACATCCTCCTCCACTCCCACTGAGCAAACAGGAGCAGGAGGCTGCTGGAGTTCAGTTTGTGAGGTGGAACTTAAAATTGAATATTGATGCTATAATTGAATTGTTGGTCTGTTGATAGAGTGGACAAAATAATGGGAACATGTTTGAGTCCAGAGTGAGGCTGCAGCAGCCGTCAGCTGACAGGACTGTATGTACAGAGGGAGGGACTGACCTGGACTTGGTCCACACAGTCTGCTGACACTGCAGGTTATCAGTTTGTCACCTTCCAGCTGTTGTACATCTGCTCATGTCTCAGCCAATCAGTGAACAGCAGCTTGACTGTCGGCGAGCAACAATGAGGAGGAAATCCTGTCAACCAGCTGAGCTGAAATTTCTGTTTAGAGGTGAATTATATGCGCAAGCCGTCAGCTCTGGCTCACATGACACATAACAGCCGCTAACAGCAGTAGATCTAAAGTAGCATCGGCACACAGTTAGCTCCAAGGGTGGAAATAAGTCGTGTCCACACTAACAACAACACCAGTTAAAACACAGGAGCCCCTTCAAACCACTGCTGTAATCATAACAAAATTATAAAATGCTGGCATCAAAAGAAAGTGATGTTAGCATAAAACCTAACATTAGCATCAAAAGCCCCAAATGACACCATTTATCAGAGTGACAAACTGTAAAAACAGAAAGAATCCTCTGATTTTCAACATGCTGGTGGTCCTTGAACATATCACATGTGGTGTGCTGCTCGGTCAGGAAAATTGATCAAATCCGAGCTTAAAATTGTGATATTTCATCAAAATCACTTTATTCTACAGTCGTCCTCAAATATATTCATAGTAACAAAAAAAAGGGGGCAAAATTCACAAAAGTAACTTCAAATAACTAGAAACTGAAAAGAGTAATAATAAATAAAAATTTCCTAAATCATAATTTAGTGAAATAATACATTGCTTTTGAATTGTGGGTGAAAAGAATAATTTAAAAAAAACAAAAAAACAAAACTGTCCTGGACAAATTAAAGCACTTTGCTGATGAGCAGTGAAATCAAAATACCTGTCAACAGGTGCAGAAGTCTGAGAGCTACAGAAAACACCTGATGGCAGTGATTGGCTCAAATGGTTGTTCAACAAAACATTAGTTTACGGGTCTCATCATGCTTGTTTCGTTGTTTTTTTAATTTTAATTATTTTTTAAAAATTTCTGTTGAGCCCCATGGAAAAACCTTGAAGTCAGTGGTGACTCAGCTGCAACCAACTGTGAAGCGACAAAAACTAGGGACTGTCTGGATGACCGGCGGAGCACAGAGGAGAGAAGTGTGGAAACAAAATAAAAATGTAGGTAATAAAATATCATGTACAGCTATCACTTTGTAGAGCTGCTAAAACCTGTGGGTGCTTGGATAAATGTTGCTGTTTCTAAAATAACTAGTCAAATAAATTATTAGTTTTTTTTTCCTGATTCATGGCAGGATTTTATGTTACCTCTAGTTCTGACCGCTGTTTCCGTAGAGGTACAGCAAAAATGAGCCCACAGTGAGTAAAAGTATAACAGGAGCATAAAACGCACATAAACTGCTGCTATTAACTGTCAAAACTCTAACAGAGCCCCGTAAGAAACCTCAGGACAGTCTGAATGTGTCAAAAAACAGTGATTTCTCTCCAGGTGGTTAGCTTAGCTTTAGCAACCCCTGCCAGTAGGCGACGACAGAAATGTCCGGAAATGAATTTTAGCGGCTTCGCACGTAATTGAGCGCTAGGCTTCATGTATCACTGGGTGGGGGAGTCACATGAGGGTTAACTAGGATATTGAATTTGACTTTCTAATGTGACATAACAAAGACTGACTCAAACTCACTCTGTCAAAAAATTCAGGAAGATGGAAGCAACATTTAGCAGAGAGGACCACCATCATCCTGATCTGCAACCAACTCTCTCAATCTTATTTAACAACGAGGTATTCTGCAAAAAACAACAGCGTAATTAAATGTCAGCTACAACTAAGGTACGTTTGAAGACTATGTGTGTTTACAGTCTGTAACAGTCTATCACTGGATCGCCGTGACACTGAAGAAAACTTCAAAACAAGAAGATTCTCAAGCAGGTTCTGAACTGTCATTTCTCTTGTTTCTAAGCAGATTTATGGGGGTTTATTTTACATGAGAGCTAAAGGTATCCTCGTGAAGTCACAGCGAATCTAAACATGCGTGTTTCATATCTGTTAGTGCAGATCTTAGTTATGAGTCACCTGCAGTCACCTGATGGAGGATGTTTGCCTTCCTGACAGGCAGCAAACATCTGGATTACAGACCTGCTGGAACCACAGATCCAAACAACCCTCTCAGATTAGTTTATCTGCAGGGTTAAAGAAACCAGCAGTCTGACAAACCTGCTGCCAGCTTCTGTGTTATCATGATCATTGTTCTGTTTCTCAGCCACTCTGATCAGGACGCTGCTTCGTTTATTGCAGTAAATCCATAAACATCAGCTGCAGTTTAATCCTCAGCAGGACACAAACTGTCGCTTTAAAGTTCTGGATGTCACAAAGAGAAACCCGACTGCTGACACTTAATACACACAGTGTGTTCAGTGAATGGAGCATCCGCCTGTAGGCTGGGTGGACTTAAAACAACTGGTTTCAGTTTCCAGCAGGAACAATCTGACCCTGGTCGACAAACTGGGAGGATCACATCCACTCGGTGACCCACAGTTCACAGGGAGACACGTAGACACATCTAGTCAGCCAGCGTCACCCACACACTCTCATGGATACTCTCTTGTTTTAAAGTTTAACACACTTTAATTTTTTTCTAATTAACTCACAAAAATATCATTATTTCATCATAAAGAAGTGTAAGCCCAATTACTTTAGTTATCAACACAACTAATTAAGGAAACTTCAACGAAAGGAACGTCTGGCTTGTATGTGTCATAATTACATCTTTGAGAAGTTTCAGTCAGGTTTTAGATCTTCACACAAGCACTGAACCTATAAAGTGGTCTTCTTTTAGCAGCTGAGAGAGCAGTCCAGCCTCTGACACAGTTCACCTCATCTCCTACAGCTCACATTATCTGTGGCGAACCGCAAGATTCAATGTTAGGCCCAAACTTATTTTCCATTTCCATGTTTCCAGTCAGCTATGTAATCCAACAACGCAACTCTTTTAGCGCGACATGGATGACACACAGATATCCCTCCCCTGACATCTGTTCACCCAAGAAGCCTCGCTGTGGTTTGTCTCAGAGATGTCAACTGTTGAATGGCACAAAATCACCTTGGACTCAATAACTCCAAGTCATGAAGCAAATTGTTCGCTCTCCCAACTCATACCAGTTCAACTGAGAGCAGCCTTTGTCTCTTGTG